GGGTCCTGCCCCGGGACCGGCCGCCCCCGCCGCGGCCGCGCTCTACGTCCACGTGAGCGGGGGAGCCCGGGCTTGCACGCGTGGGGGTGCACAGGGACCCCGGGCTTGCACACATGGGGGGAGGGACCCCGGGGCTTGCACACGTGGGGGTGCACGGGGACCCCGGGGCTTGCACACCTCGGGGTGCACGTGGGACCTTGGGCCTGCACACATGGGGGTGCACGGGGACCCCGGGCTTGCGCACATGAGGGGAGGGACCCCGGGGCTTGCACAGGTGGGGGTGCACGGGGACCCCCGGGGCTTGCACACCTGGGGAGAGGGACCCCGGGGTTTGCATGTGTCGGGGTGTGCGCGGGGACCCTGGGCTTGCAGCTGTGGAGCGAGGGACCTACAGGCTTGCACACGTGGGACCTAGGGCTTGCACACGTGGGGCTACACAGGGACACGTGGGCTTGCACACCTGAGGGTGCATGGGGACTCCCGGCTTGCACACACAAGGGGAGGGAACCCAGGCTTGCACACATGGGGGTGCACAGGGACCCCGGGCTTGCACACGTGGGGGGAGAGACCGTGGGCTTGCACACATGGGGGTGCATGGGGACCCTGGGCTTGCACACGTGGGGGTGCACATGGGACCTTAGGACTTGCACACACTGAGGGGTGAATGTGGGACCCCGGGGCTTGCATGCGCGTGGGTGCATGCAGGACGCCGGGGCTTGCACACGTAGGGGAGCATCCCAGCCTTGCACGTGTCACGGGGCACACGTGGGGCTCCCCCGCCACGCATGCGCGTGGGGTGCTGAGGGGGTCCCCAACCTGCGCACATGAAGGCCGGCACCTGGGGGAGGTGGGGAGCGCCGGGGCTGTGCCCGCCCCCCCCAAATCGGGGTGCCGGGGGCGCGGCCGTCCCCCTCAGCCCCCCGTGCCCGCAGTGGCCCTACTGCCGCAAGCGCTGCTCCTACTGCAACTTCAACAAGTACGTGGTGCCGGCGGTGGACGAGGCGGCCGTGCGGGCCTGCCTGGTGCGGGAGGCGCGCACGCTGCTGCGCCTCGGCCGGGTGCAGAGGTGGGTGCATGGGGGGGCTCCCCGGGGGGGGGCGCGGGGCCCTGTGGCGCCCGCCGCCTCCCCCCCCTCTGC